CCCCGCGCCCTTCTCGTGTGAACGTCATCGTGGGAACAGTGGGAGAGGGAGAGAAAAGTAACCAAGAGATAAGCTGCACTGGCGGTACACAGCCAGAACCAAGCTCAAAGTCCAGGGCCTGACCACCCCCCACACACCAAGAACGGACCCAAAAGCCGCTCTGCTCCCTCCCTGGCAGGCCATCCCTTTTTGGCCACTGACCAGAGCCCACGCTGTTCCCTCTCAGGGCCACTGTGTCCCTAGGTCCTCTGTGTTCTCCTGCTCTAGTTTCTCTGTGCCAAGGTGCCGCCCGATCCTCCTCCTCCTGGTAGCCTCCCCAGCCCTTCCCTGCCTTTTGTGTCCAGGGGGCCGGGTCCTGGAGGTGGGCTTCGGCATGGCGATCGCAGCAACCAAGGTGCAGGAAGCCGCCATTGATGAGCACTGGATCATTGAGTGCAATGATGGTGTCTTCCAGCGGCTCCAGGACTGGGCCCAGCGTCAGCCACACAAGGTGCCACCTCTGCCTGCAGGCTCCCCACCCCACTCCTGGGGTGGTCTCAGGCACGGGATGGGGGGGGAGTATCCTCCCTTGGGAGTACCCCCTCCTTACAGTGGAGAAGTCCTGGGGACCCCTCTGACCCTCAGCCTTCTCTTTTTCTTCCTTACCCCAAGGTGGTTCCCTTGAAAGGCCTGTGGGAAGAGGTGGCACCCACCTTACCAGATGGTCACTTTGATGGTGAGGGGGCTTTGGGCACTGGGTGAGGGGGAGCCTCTGCCTGACTCTCCTCCTCAGTTGCTGAGGTATCTTCTAAAGAACACATGTGCTAACATGTCACTGGGGCAAGAGAGTCTGGGCAGGGGGCACAGACATACACAAGACCTGGGACTCAGCAGGAGTGTGGTGATACCTAAAGGAACTACTGAATTGCACATGATACCTAGAGGAGGTGGCAGCATAGTGAACTTAGGGTACAGCTGCTGGGGTTCTTGGGCCATCTTTGAGTTCCACTTTCACGTGTAGCCACTGTCCTGGTGCGGCTGCCCCTGACCGTGTGGCTTCTGTCCTCCCATGCAGGAATCCTGTACGACACATATCCACTGTCTGAGGAAACCTGGCATACGCACCAGTTCAACTTCATCAGGGTAGGACCACACAGAGGGATGGGGTCTTCAGCCCTCAGCATGGGAGTTCAGCTGGGTGGGGGTATATGCCATCCACATACAGGGTACCCCTCCTTCCACTTGGTTCTCTGATCTCCCTCCCGACCTCTAACCCCCTTCTAGGGCCACGCTTTTCGCCTGCTGAAGCCAGGAGGCATCCTCACCTACTGCAACCTCACCTCCTGGGGGGAGTTGATGAAATCCAAGTACTCCAACATCAGTACCATGTTTGAGGTGCAGCAGCCTAGCTCCCCAAGGGCCCCTACC